CGAACCAACCTACGATCAAATAAATAATACTTTTACTATATGTCAGGCACAAAGACCACGACAAGAATTTCATACCTCATAAATTAACAAAAGTTAAGTTTAAAAATCTCCCCAGCCCGTCGCACCAACCAGACCGATATTGTGAAAATTTGAGGTTATGTACAATAGATTCCGTCTCTCTTCGTTCCTTTACATAAAGTCGAACTGACGCACAAGGATTCACTTTCACATTTGCTTTACGCTAATGCCTTTAACAAACGGATCCCTTATTAAAAGGTTAAGTTACAGAATTCGGCCCTTAATCCTAGTCAGATGTTGGGGCACTCTAAATTTGATCATGTTAAGTAGATCAGGCACATCAATAAGGTTATTAAGCAGTTTATAAATGAAGCAAATACTAAAATAAGTTTTCCTAGTACAAAAGGTAGACAAATGAAGGTAAGACAGCATAAGCTCTAGAGAGCAATTTATATTTGAAGGTAATCTAAACTTGACAAAATGTAAAAATTTTTTTAATATCGAATCAATACGCTCCAGGTGAGTTTTGTAATGTGGAGCCCAAATTATACATCCATAGTCAATAATGGGTACGACTAAAGTTTTATATAAATGAACAATAGTTGTAAAATCAAGGAAGTCTCTTGAATACCTTTTGATGCATCCCAGTACCTTACTTGCTTTGTTCATAACATGATCAATATGAAAAGAGAAATTCAGCTGACTATCAAGAAATATACCGAGATCCTTAACACAGGGCACAGATTTTAAAGCAGTATTGTTAATTAAGTAACGAGGAATCGATTTATTTTTTTTCCGAGTAAAGCATATACTGTAACATTTTTCCAAGTTTGAATTCATGCTATTATCAACACACCAACGATATAAACTGTTAAGATCTGCTTGCATTAATTCACAGTCACTGTTACTATTAATATTAAAAAAAATGTTCAAGTCGTCAGCAAATAAACTGTAATTACATTTAAAATTCTTTCCAACATCATTGATAAATAAACAGAACAGAAATGGTCCCAAAATAGATCCTTGAGGAACCCCCGAAGGCACACATCGTCTGTCAGATAAGATACTTTTGATTTTAACCTGCTGAGATTTTTATTTCTAGTGGCATATAGATTCTACCCTTTCACCCACTTTGAAACTCTGTATTTCTTCCCACGCTTCTTGGTTGACAATCCCATAGTCTACAATTGATTCTCCTCTAGCCCCTACGTACGTCCATTCTCCTTCTTATCTCCTTCCTTGTTTCCATTCAAAATTTCCCATCCCATTTCTTTTATTATCTTCCACAATATTTTCCTTTCTTTGTTATTTACTTTGTCTTTTGATCCTTTCTCCTCTATAAGCCCCGCCCATGCATAAAAAATTATCACAGCTGAGATAGAGTGGGTGGGCGGGGCTTGCATATTGTCCTGTTTTTCTTACTGTACATAGTTTTCTTTTCACAACTAAAAATTTAAAACTATCAAATTAGTAATTTTTTTAAGCAAATAAGGATTTTGCAATTACGTTCCGCCATTCTGGTCTGACAAGGAATGAAAGATTAATCGAAATTGAGATAAGGGCGGGTGGGCGGGGTTTATATTTTGCCTTTTTTTTAAAATATGTTTCTCTACAAAAATTTACCATTATAACCTTGTTTTAAGTTTTTTGTTGTAGACAGAAGATTATGAATATTAAGAAAGAAACAGAAGTTATAAGATAAGCTCCGCCCACCCACCCCACCTCGATTGTGACGATTTTTTTAATTGCCGTGAGCCAGAGGGCGGAGCTTAATTGCAAAATCAGTATTGCCCTACAAACTTTTACCGTTTTAAACTTGTTTTCGGTTTCTTGTATCAAAAACAAATTGCGTATACTAAAATAAAAAAAAGGCAAACTATAACCCCGCCCATGCATCAAAAAATTATCACAGTTGAGATAGGGCGGGTGGGCGGGGCTTGCATATTGCCCTGTTTTCCTTACTGTACGTAGTTTTCTTTTCACAACCAAAAACTTAATATCAAATTAGTAATTATTTTAAGCAAATATGGATTTTGCAATTACGTTCCGCCACTCTGGTCTGACAAGGAATGAAAAATTAATCGGAATTGAGAAGAGGGTGGGTGGGCGGGGTTTATATTTTGGCTTTTTTTTAAATATGTTTCTTTACAAAAATTTACCATTATGACAATGTTTTAAGTTTCTTGTTGTCGACAGAAGATTATGCATATTAAGAAAGAAACAGAAGTCATAAGATAAGCCCCGCCCACCCACCCCATCTCGATTGTGGCGATTTTTTTTAATTGCCGTGAGCCAGAGGGCGGAGCTTAATTGCAAAATCAGTATTGCCCTACAAACTTTCACCATTTTAAACTTGTTTTCAGTTTCTTGTATCAAAAGCAAATTGCGTATACTAAAAAAAGGCAAAATATAACCCCACCTAGCATAAAAAATCATCATAGTTGCGATAGGGCGGGTGGGCGGGGCTTGCATATTGTCCTGTTTTCCTTACTGTACTTAGTTTTCTTTTCACAACCAAAAACTTAATATCAAATTGGTAATTTTTTTAAGCAAATATGGATTTTGCAATTACGTTCCGCCATTTTGGTCTGACAAGGAATTAAAAATTAATCGGAATTGAGATGAGGGCGGGTGGGCGGGGTTTATATTTTGCCTTTTTTTTAATATGTTTCTCTAGAAAAAATTACCATTATGACCATGTTTTAAGTTTCTTTTTGTAGACAGAAGATTATGAATATTAGGAAAGAAACAGAAGTTATAAGATAAGCCCCGCCCACCCACCCGATCTCGATTGTGACGATTTTTTTTAATTACCGTGAGCCCGAGGGCGGAGCTTAATTGCAAAATCAGTATTCCCCTCCAAACTTATACCATTTTAAACTTGTTTTAAGTTTCTTGTATCAAAATCAAATTGCGAATACTAAAAAAAAAGGCAAAATATAAGCCCCGCCCATGCATAAAAAAATCATCACAGTTGTGATAGGGCGGGTGGGCGGGGCTTGCATATTGTCCTGTTTTCCTTACTGTACTTAGTTTTCTTTCCACAACCAAAAACTTAATATCAAATTGGTAAATTTTTTAAGCAAATATGGATTTTGCAATTACGTTCCGCCATTTTGGTCTGACAAGGAATTAAAAATTAATCGGAATTGAGGTGAGGGCGGGTGGGCGGGGTTTATATTTTGCTTTTTTTTTAATATGTTTCTCTACAAAAATTTACCATTATGACCATGTTTTAAGTTTCTTGTTGTAGACAGAAGATTATGAATATTAAGAAAGAAACAAAAGTCATAAGATAAGCCCCGCCCACCCACCCCATCTCGATTGTGACGATTTTTTTAATTGCCATGAGCCAGAGGGCGGAGCTTAATTGCAAAATCAGTATTGCCCTACAAACTTTTACCATTTTAAACTTCTTTTCAGTTTCTTGTATCAAAAGCAAATTGCGTATACTAAAAAAAAGGCAAAATATAACCCCGCCCATCCATTAAAAAATCATCACAGTTGAGATAGAGCGGGTGAGAACGTAGTTTTCTTTTCATAACCAAAAACTTAATATCAAATTTGTAATTGATTTTTAAGCAAATATGGATTTTGCAAATACGTTCCGCCCTTTTGTCACCTTTTCAATTATCTGCTTCTGCTCTCCTGTTTCTATTTCCAACCTCATAAATAATAAATATTTAACACGATATTTTTTTTAGTTGACACAAGTATTTTATTTTGGGTAACCTATTTTAGAGAAAAAAATTAATGCACTCTAAAAATTATAAATTAAATACGTAAAATTTACGTGTGCTAATTTAGCACCCAAAGTTAGGTTAGGTTAAATTTGAAACGTTAAGACTTTCCTATTTGCAGTTTAATTTTACGTTTACACCATTCAAGATCAACTTGTGGATAGATAGGAAAACAGCTTTCATTATCTTTATGGAGCTACTACAATTATATTTTTTGCTGTACTTGCATTAGTTTAACGTCAAAGTATAGTTTAATTTACGTAATGTCTAGAAAATTTGATGTTATATTTATTTTCGTACTTACCTCTCTCTTTTCTCATAATTTATACCTTCATTACGTCCTCACGTTTAAAAGTTTGCTGCAGATTCCGCTAATTATTTAAATCTGTTGATTTATATATCAGTGCCGTTTTATTGTCAAGAACTTCTAACATTAAACTCATTGCTAATGATCCTATAACAGTTCATTACGTTTTATGTGACTTTGGCTTAGAGCCCACTATTTCTTTCCTACGAGAGGCCAGAAAAGCTGCGCAAAATTTTCCAGATAAAAATGATTCACCACTTAATATTTTACATTTTAACCGTCTATATTTAGATCGCTTTAGTATTGTCCAAAAAACCTCTCTTCCTAATATTATAACAAAAGCCGGAAGTTTATGTTGTACCAATATATTTCGGTTGTACACCGGTATGTTATGTACGATAAGCTAGAGGACATGAACACGAAATTTTCCAATTTTATTGATGGCTTGTTTTCCGGAGTAACTAAAAATAATGTGCGACGGATTACGAATGACATTTACAAGATAACTGAGTCTGGCGAGTTCAACAAAGCAAAGAATGAATTTCGTCGAACGTATCCCGGGGTAACCAAATGTAAAAAAATCGTCGCAGTCACAACAAATTTAAAGATGTGCTAAACATCCCCTGTTTCTACTAAAGACAAGAGAAATTTTGTAATGATACTATATTGTGGCGGCACAATAACACGTTGGTAAGCGGAGAAGGATAAGCGGCTCCGTGGTCTAGTGGTCAGGATACCTGCCCGACAAGCGGATCCCTTCAATATATTTTTTAGAATTCTTTTTCCTGTTTTCTGTGCCAGAAAATCTAATTTGTATTTAATTAATAATATCAAGAATTTCCCTATCTCATCGAAGGTATGCATATTGTGGATCAATAGTGTTGAGTTCGTTCTGTTGCCATGATTACTAACCGACACAACGTCAAAATTCCTATTTAACAAAAGTCACAAAACTGTCACTTTTATTCTCCGGTAATTCTACAAAAATTTTAAAATGTCCGACTCAAGTGTTTTTGACTCTTCTTCCGCTGGAGATTTTTCCGATAACTTAGAGAAAATCAAAAGCGTATGCAACCACATCTTTGACTAAACCAATCTTCAGTCGCCTTTTGCAGGAAATATATGAAACGAAATCCTTCGATATGTCCAAGTTACAACAATTTCCTCCGGAGACGCTAGAACGAACTCTCGTGGAATGGAGAGACGAGCAATTGCAAAAAGTCGAAGAAGAATTGCACCTGTTACTTGTTATTGAAGACATGATGAGGTCTTCGGAGGTTGAAAATTTCGACGGATACACCGACGAGAAAAAATTCGGACAAATAATAAAGCAAGTGCGGAATATAAATTAAGGTATTGTTCTCATGTACTGTGAAAATTAACAGTGATATATAAATTTTTTTTAATTTTTGTGTCAAAACTCTTAATAAATACGTGAGAGTCCTATGGCGCATAGTTCGTTCCAAACAATGCAGATTGTTGTATTTGAGGCAAAAATCACGATCCAGCGCCCCGAATTGAAATATTCAAAGTGTTGAGGAAAATGTTAAACAAGGGCCCGTTCGCCGTTTCTACGATTTCATTTCCGGAACTTTTATTAGTTGTTTTATCGGTTGGGCACCGTCTTTTACGCCCTTTTACCTTCGAACCAGCTGAAATTTGCAATAATGCTACGACTTTTGCATACATAACACATTCTCGAGCAACCGGAAGTGGGTCTCGAAGGAGTTGCGGCTCGTCTTCGGAGCTTCCTCTTCCTGTAATTATTAGACCGGATGTTGGAGGCTAACAGGTACACTATTAAACCGCTGCAAATCGGTAAAATTGCCGCGCTGCTGCATTAATAAAATAAACTGTAAATGTGCAGAAGAGTCGAGGAGATGTAATCAAGAAACGACAATTTAATAAAAGCCTAGCTGCACTCGAACGGTTCGAGCAAGCGAACCGCTCACACCGCTCCTCATTAACTCGGAAAAAAGTTAAGCAGAAAAAGAAGACGTCTCTGAATGCCAGCAACACTGCAAATCGATACAGAAAACCGGCGATTGGAACTATCGACGCTGCTGTTTGTTAGAAGGGAGGAAATTGTTGTCATTAGTTTCGAGAAAAGGGGATATAGTACGAAAAACAATGAAACGCTAAAGGTAGCATGCAGTTAGTTATTGGAGTACTTGAAGTGAGCGTTTTTGATGGCTTAACTCTCACACTCACGTGACTGGAGGTTTTCTTTTAAAAACTTGCAACGTTTCAGATGAATTTTATTTAAGTTTCACTTGAGGTAGACTGGAATAATTAACTAAATCTTCTCGTAGGCGTCGGTTTTTAGAAAATTGTCTTGAACTTCTTAATTTCAGAGCAAAAATTCATTTTCGTTGAACGTTGTATGATCACATCAAATACCCAGAACAGAGTCAACTTTTAAAGTTAACTTTAGAAAAAATTTATAAAGTACCTAATTTGTGTTATTCAGTTCAAGTCAGGTCAAGTCGGCTTAGGTCAGGTTAGATCAGGAGAACAGTTGGTCGAGGAAGGGGTTTTAACAGGTGAAAGTCCTGGCACTACCGGGAATGATCGACCTAAGTTGCTGATTTCCATAATGGTTTCCCTTTTCATAAAAAAAAACCAGGTGAGGTCATGTCAGGTTAAGTCAGTTAAATGAGTACACTAATTTGCTTCTTTTTTTAAATTTTAGTCCAAAAATTTGTGTTTCAGTTTTTATTCGAACCAAAGTGTTACTACCCAGTTAAAAAATGAAGGCTTTTGTTGTTTTTTAATCATGTCAGGTCAAGTTAAATCAATTTAGGTCAAGACAGCTAAGATCAGATCAATTAAGGAAATGTCCGAATTTGTACGCTTTTTCATATCCTGGTTATATTTTCCGAAAAATGTGGGTATCATTGGTGGTTTTACAGTATTGTAGCCGTGTGAAATTTCACCGAAGCATTGCCAAATCGTTAAAAGCACACAGATTTTCTAATAAAGATGATATTCTACAATTTGTTGACTTGATTTCCAAACGTTTTATAAATGTTTGTAATATATCATAAAATATTTCAAATTTTATTTGAATTGGTGTTTGGATGCTTATAGTAATGTAACTTGGAGATTTATTTTATTTATCCTTAAGAATTTTTCATTTTATTTCAGCATGTCTGGTATTCGACGATACTTCATGTATAGAGTATCAACAAAAATAATGGTTTTATGGATTTGACTTTTCCAAGCCCTCGTTTGTAAACAAAGAGTTAAAGACATAAGAGGTTGTTTAGGAGAAATAGGGTTGTGGAGAAGTCAAAATCGTAAAACCACTATTCTCGTTGATGTACTATAAATTTAACAGTTACTATTTATTTCACACAATTTAAGTTTTGAAATTAGCAATCAGAACATCTTTTTTGCGTAAGTTAAAAAATCCTTGGTAGAATTAAACTCCAAAAGACATATATCTATGAAGGTAAAAATGGAAAAAATATTCAAGCAAAAGTTAACGAATCTGATAATTTCCCGAGATAATTTAGGCAATTCGAATTTGAGTATCTTTAACGTTTGCCTAAAAATACAGAATACGTTAGTTTAAAGAACATTTTCTCTATAATGAGAAGAGACATCGCAAAAGTAAGCACAGACTCGTGTTGCTGAGAAAATTTTCAAAAAGTCAGATACATTTCTCGGGTGATTTGGATGAATTCGGACGAATTTCATCTTCGGTATTTCAGGATGTATCGGAAAATTACGTAACATACAAATAAAATTACATAACATACAAATTCATGGTCCTGACAAAATTGTTAATAAGTTAAATGTTTTTCTGGGTAAACGGCCGAAATAAGCACAGATTCTTCGTTGAGAGAAAATTTTCGATCAGTTGTCTCTTTCATTTTTTGAAGATACATTGTAAAAATAAATGCAAATTCGTAATTCTCAGAAGTTCTCCGACAGCATAGACAGATTTCTGAGACGATTTAGGCAACATCGGGCGAATTTAGGACTATTTAATTACCTCATTGAATTAGTGGATGCGCTATCTCAAGGGACTCTTGCTCCTTTAGCTGAAGAGATATCGCAAAAACAACTACAGATTATTGATTTCGAGAAAATTTCCGATAAGACAGACTGCTTTCAGGACTGATTTCAACAAATTCAGGCCATTTTGGAAAACTTTGATGTGTTGTTGAAAGTGATTGATGCACCATACAAAGGGAGAAATATCGCAAAAATAAATATTCAATTATTCATTATAAGAAAATTTTGGGTTGGTTGTCTTGTCTTCATGATTTGCCACACAAGTGCGGACAATGTAAAATACATTTGAACCAGATAACCAACGGGAAAATTGTACTCTCAGTTATAATAACATGCTTAATTTCGAGTGTTTATGTTTATACTACTAAAGAATTCACTAATTAACATATTGAGATACCAAGCATCAGCGGCCACATGAAATTGTATTAAAACAAAGGAGCATCGTATGCATATGTTTCAAGTGAGTTTTTTGCAACAAAATTTTGTAATGACGTTATCAATATAGATAATACTAGTCACAGCACATCACCAGTGCAAAAGAGAAAAAAAAATGGTTGAAAGTTATTTCGACAGAACAGCTTTCGCTCCTGAATCACAATGAAACATATTCAGGATTTTTGAAAAATCATAAAATTTGATTTTAGGATGTTATATTTTATATGAGAACCTCCATAAGTTGAAATAATCATATGTGAATATGCAATGTTAAAGTAAATGTAAAGAAGCATGCTACGCCTGTGTTTCAAATGAGTTTTTACTTTACATTTTGTGATGACGTCAATAATCATTTTTGAAAGAACACGTATTTCAACTTAAATTGGTGCAGTAATATTAATAATAACGTATTATATTACCCCCCCCCACAAAAAAATCGGAAAAATTGAGTGAGCAGTTCTTAATTTAATCAATAAAAAAAATTAATCTATTCATGCAAATTTAAAAAATATTAATGCAATGACATTTTGGGTAAAATCTATTCAGCAAAATTTTGACGATTTTGGGGGAATAAACAGATATATTTTTATTGACAATTTACCATGCTTACAATAACTTTAAAACGTCTGCAGGCTTCCAAAGTTTTCAGTTTTGTAGTATAGTAGTATAGTATTCAATAAAATAAACTGACTGATTTATTAATTTTTATGAGTCAGCGTGTATAAGCAAATCTAAAAAATATGAATCCAATGATAAATTACAAGTATAGACATCATATTTTGGGAATTTCAGATAAGATTTATTCGGCAAAATTTTGAGATACATTTTGATTAAAAAGTTACCATGCTTACAATAACCTCGAAACGCCTGCAAAATTTCAAAGTATTCAATTTTGCAATTCTTGATTTAATCAATAAAATAAATTGACTTCAGTTTTTTGAAACTCCCTGTTTTAGCAAATCCTAAAATATGAATGGAATGATAAATCACAAGTACTCTCATCATATTTTGTAGATTTATTCGGCAAAATTTTGAGCTGACGTCATCAATTTTTTGGAGGGGATAAGTAAATATATTTGGATTGAAACTTTATTATGTTTACCATAACTTTAAAACATCTGCAAGATTTCAAAGCATTCGCTTTTGCAGATTCAAAATTAAATTGCAAAATATTGTTTTATAATTTTGATTTTTTTCCAAAAAAAAATCGGGTAAAAACTCAACACGGTCTCATAAATTACATGTGTAGGACTCTTTTATTTTATACAATTTAAACTCAGTTTACTATGTACAATTCGGAAATGACGTCTTCACATTATTGATGGGTATGATTAGACAAATTTCGGTTAACGTTTTACCATCTACATGATATTCCTAAGATAAATAAATAATTTATCAACAATCGGCCCGGTACTTTCGGAGATTATCTGTCAATAAAAATCCGGGACGGCAGACAGACGGACAGAGAGACAGACGGAAACGGAAGACCTATTTCTTCGTCCTGTAGGGGTCAGTAAAGGTCAGAAAAACGTAAAAGTAGATAGTCGGCCGACGGATTCGATTACAATACTTCCTTCGCTTACGCCTGGGAAGTAAAAAAAATGGCCTAGTTTGGCATCAAAGGTGCGACCACACTTTTTTTGTGAAAATTTGTTCATTTAGGGAAAGAACTCAATGCGGATTCATAGACCATAAATACAGGAATAATAATAATATATGATTTAAATGTTATACAATACTATAACATTTAAATAATTTTAAAACAGAATCCTTTGAGATGACGTCATCAAATTTTTGGTAGGGGTAATTAGCTAAATTTGGGTTCGAGTTTTACCATCTACAATACATGATATTTCTAATATACGTATAAAATTTGATAACAATCTGTCCAGTAGTTACAGAAATTATCTGTCCAATAAAAATCAACAGACGACAAACAGACGGAAACGGGA